CCCTCCTACCCTTCCTTTTTGCTTGTCGTTTGCTAAAATAAAAATAAATAAAACTCTTCATGACTCCGCAAAATCTCAGCTATCGAGAGCATCTTAGCAATGACATCCAGCCCGGGTTTGTACACAACAGCCACCGAGCTTTTTTGGCAGCAAAGATCAACGAATTCTTCGGAATTACCGGACCGGCGATGACGTACGATACAGCCTGCAGCTCTGCGCTTGTCGCGATTGAAGCGGCCTGCAACAACTTGCTTCGCGGCCGTTCAAGAACCGTGATAACGGGCGGGGTCAATATCCTGACCCAGCCTCAGATCACGATCGGTCTCGACAGAGGCTTCTTCCTCTCCAGCACTGGTCAATGCCTTACCTTTGATGACGCAGGGTCTGGCTACTCTAGGGCTGACGGGGTGTGCATGTTTGTCATGAAGCGCCTTCCCGATGCGCTCGCTGATGGCGATAATCTTTTTGGCTTGATTTCCTCGGCCGCTACCAACCATTCCGGCGAGTCCTTCTCCATCACGCATCCTGACGGAGATACTCAAAAGCGGCTGTACCGCTCTGGGATGCTGGCCTCAGGCCTCTCACCCGACGATATTGGATATATTGAGTGCCATGGCACAGGGACTCAGGCTGGGGATTTTGAAGAGGTTTCAGGAATCGTAGAGGCTTTTGGTAAGGGAAGGTCAGGAGCTCCGCTCATCCTAGGCTCTGCAAAAGCAAACGTTGGCCATTCGGAGTCGGTGAGTCGATCATGAAACCATAGCAAGAGCGTTTCGGATGCGCCTCCCGATGACTCACCCAAAATCTGTTCCGCTGTCGATTGCCCCTCGACACCGCTGCGATCAGACCTCTGGAGCTACGAGCCTTGTCAAGGCCTTGATGATGCTGAAGAAAGACAAGATACCAAAGCACAGTCAGTGTAAACGCTTCAATGATCGCCTATTGCCTTGAAAAATCAGATGCCAGGTTGCTGACGACTTCATGTCGCTACACGTTGTTGCAGTCGGAATCAGGGGCAAACTCAATACCAAGCTACCTGACCTTAATGGTTTGCTCATCCCAACTTCTGGAGAAGCATTCCACAAAAAGGATGTACCAAGGGCTATTCTCGGTGAGCAGTAAGCTATGCACGTGAACTCACGGCCAGCTTGGTTTCCTTTCAAGTAAATGTACTGAAAAGATTTTTTTTCTTTACCCCTTTCTCACCCTGTAAAAACCCTTCTGGTTCTGATGATCATCAAATTAATCACGATGGAAACGCAAACCAGTCGACAACTTCTCCGCAGCCGGTGGAAACACATCCCTAGTCGTTCAGGATCCTCCGGAGATTACTCATGCAAATTCGGCTGTCGAAATGTTTGAGACTGATCGGGAGCAGAGGCAGCAGCTGCTTCACATTTCCGCGGCCACTTCATTTTCACTCGATGCTTTGAGGCGTCGGCTGTATGCTTTCCTCGAGCAGCACCCAACTACTCCAATCGACCAGTTCTGCTACGTGTTGTCCGCCAGGAGGATGACTCTCCCGCACAGGCTTATCGCCCAGGTACGCACTCTGCATGACCTTAAGACCGCTCTTAGCAGTAAAGAAAGCACGGTCGTTCCAAAGAGGCAGGAACCCCCGAAAATTGGTTTCGCCTTTAGTGGCCAGGGGGCCCAGTACGTTGATATGGGTCGAGAGCTGTACGAGGCCAGCCCTACTTTCCGTTCCGCCATCAATCACTGCAGCTGGCTTGGTCGGACGTACAAATTCGATGAATTGCTCGATGTCATACGCCCAGAGGAAGGACAAGAGAAACTCCGCGACATTTCGCGCTTATCGCCCGTCCAATTCCAGCTAGGCCTCATCGCCATCGAGGTTGGGCTGGCTACCCTTCTCGAGTCGTGGGGGGTGGAGCCCTCTTGCGTTGCAGGCCATTCTCTCGGCGAGTACGCTGCCCTTTGGAAGGCTGGAGTCCTATCGTTGAAAGATCTGATTGGGCTGGTGGGTGGGAGATCCGAGCTCATGGTTGAACTTTGCGCGCCCAACGCTTCTTCCATGCTGGCTGTCAGAGATACCCGAGAGACTGTCCACAAGCTGATCGCCTCTTCTGGTCTCCAGGGCCTGGAGATCGCTTGTATCAACAGCCCATACGATACTGTTGTTGCTGGACCCGTAAAGCAGGTGGAAGCGATGAAGGCATTATGCGAGGCGGCAGAGCCCATGGTCAAGTCCATGGTGATCCCGGTACCTTACGCATTCCACTCGGCCGCAGTCGACCCGATCAGGGAGAGGTACGCAGAACTGGCCTCCAACTTTCGCTTGTCAAGGTCAAAAATTCCTGTCGCGGCAAACGTTCCCGGAAAGCTGATAGCGGCTGGATCGGACCATTTTGACCATGGCTACCTGGTGACGCACTTGCGCCAGCCGGTCAAATTCTCCCAGTCTATTGATGACCTTGAGAAAAATATGCACATAGACCACTGGATCGAGCTCGGCCCTCATTCGACTACAATCCCACTTCTGAAAGGCTGTTATCAGAGCACCGAGAGTCAGCCTACGTATACGGCCTCGCTGCGAAAGGGGAGTTCTGCGTGGGAAGCGGTTTTGGGTATGGTCTCGAGTCTGGCTGAGAAAGGAGTTCGGCTGGATTGGCAAAAGGTACATGACGACTTGGGGACTTCGGTCCACGGACACAAGCTAGCCAGCAGGCTTCCAACCTATCCATTCGATCTCGATGAGTATTGGATTGACTTTAAAGATCGGGGACTCCGCGATCATCTAGTTGAAAAAAGGAAAGGAATGCGAAATTTCTCTCAGGATAAGGAAAGCAAGACGAGCAGCAAATCCGAGCCTGCGCATGCAAAACCTCGGCATTCAATGCTCAGTAGGTGTGTCAGCCTCAAGCCAGACCAGCGCTCGGCCTCCTTCGAAGCCTTGGTTGGCCGTTCACCATTCAAAGAAATGATCGAAGGTCACCTGATCCTCGGAGTAGCCTTGACGCCAGCGACCGTCTTCGTCGAGCTGGCCCTCGAGGCGGCTGCTTACCTCCACGAGCTCAAGGTGGGAGGAAACGAAGGAGGAACCGTCCTCGAAGTGCAAAATCTGACCATGTTTAGTTCCCTCTTCCTTAGTGGAAGCCAGAGCCAAATCGTCCGCGTCAATGTGCAGGGACACCCGGACGAGCCTGGAGGCGGTTTCTGCCAATTTTTCTCAGGCGACTTGCTTGGCAAAAGTCAGCATCATCATGGCTCTTGCAAGGCTCTGGTTACCGCCCGGAGCTCGATCGATGAAGAATGGGCCAAGCTTCGGAGACTCATCCAGTCGGTTTCCGGCATCATACGCGATACAGCTCCCAACTCGTTCCGGACTGATCTTGTCTACAAGCAGTTTGAGACGATAGTCCTTTACAAAGGGGGCTTCCGGGGTATGCAGCAGGTCTGGCTGAGCGAGGAGGGTAATGAGGGCGTTTCCAAAGTTCGTTTCAGTCCGGAAGCAGCAAGAGGAATCTTCGTCTGCAGTCCCATGCTGCTGGACAGCATGGGAGGCCTTACAGGTTTCATAAGCAATGTGGGCATCGCCTCGGGTACTTTCGTCTACATGGTGGAAGCTATCGGGAGGATCGTCATCACGCCAGCCTTGTCCAAGATCGAGCCTGGTGACGAGACCGACATCAATGTTTACACTAGGATGGAAGAGAAAGGCGATCTCTCCTCTGGAAGCGTTTACTTCTTCTCCAACGAGCTGGAATTTTTGGGATGTATGGAAGGTGTCGCATTCAAGAAGGTTCGACGCTCGGTTTTGGAACGCCTCGTCGGGATGGCTTCAAAAATGGCGGCTCAAGAGTTTGGAAAGCTGAAGCTTGCCCTCGACAAGGATGGATCCTCGAACAGGCTTGAGGAACCTGGCCGCATCGTGGCTGAACACAGCTCGACCAAGCATAGAGGCGGTGATTCTAGGCCAACACTTCCGTCCACCCAAGCGACTTCACCCACCTCGTCCAACAATGCATTCTCATCGCTCTCTTATTCATCCGATCCTGCCCAGTCCTCGAGCGAACCTGTCCACCTTGCTGGCCCTGAGAGGATCGAACATTCCAAGCCTGTCCTGTGGCTCTTCCCAGATGGTACCGGACTGGCGACGGTCTACCGCGATCTCCCCAAGGAGTGCCCCGTATCAGTGTTGGGTTTCGATTCGCCTTACCTAGGAAAGTTGAAATCCTGGACAAGAGGTCTTCCAGAACTGGTGCAAAGGTTTTACGAAATGCTCAGGTTGGCTCAGCCCGAGGGGCCTTACTACCTTGGGGGCTGGAGCATCGGAGGGGTCGTCGCCATGGAGGTCGGTCGACACCTCCTGCAAGCAGGAGAGGAAGTCAGATGTCTGGGCCTGATTGATTCCCCTCTCCCCTTCCACATCAAGCCTTTCCCCCCGGGATTGCTCGACAGCCTGCTCTCGCAATTCTCGTCCAACACGGTGAAAGACCACTTCCGATCCTGCGCCCTGAGCCTTCCCGGCCACCGCCTGTCGCCCTTTGAGATTTCGGACAAGCTGCCCATGAAGCTGGTTTGTATCAACGCCGCCGACCAGAGCAAGCTGCCGGGGATTATGGGGAGCGAAAGCGACTGGAGGAGGTTTTTCACCGGCGGCGACGGCGGCGGTCAGGGAGGCACTCTGAACATGGAATTCGCCGAGGTGCAAGGGGACCACTGGACGTGCGTACCGGACGCCCTCGATGTGTTGACGAGCATCATCGCGGCCGGAGCCTCATCGTGAGGTTTTTGTTGACGTTCACCACTCTTTTTTTTTTGTGCAGTATGTTCAGTCCAGTTTTGTCCTGGTTTTTCCTTTTTTTTTTTGACCATCTCTAGGAAAATTGACCTTTGAAACAGGCTGTTATCAGAGAAAACGAAGCGTATCGCTTGACGAGATGTGTTGGAATCTAGTTTTCAATCCGTTGGTGCCATGATTGAACTTTCATTTGGCATTATATTTACTTAAGATTTTCAACAGTTACAACGAATATGATCCTATAGCTCAGTTGGTTAGAGCGTGTGACTGTTAAGCTGACGGCTCACAGTTACATCACAAGGTCGCTGGTTCGAACCCAGCTAGGATCGAAATTATTCTTTTTTTGTTTCATTTTTCTTTCAAAATCAACCTTCTCTTGCCACATCTCCTGTCATCGGACCCTTCCCTTCCCCTACCGACCTGTCATTCTTACATACTTTAGATTTTTTTCTCTATCTCTGAATCTCCCCCCCCCCCCCTTTCCAGCAGACACGCTCGAGATCTCTTGAAATGACGAGGATAGGAAGAAGAGAGCGTTGCAATGAGAACGAGGAGGGAATCAAGGCGGGGGGGGGGGGGAAGCTATCAGTCACGTTGATAAATTCCTCCAGAGTTGGGAGATGGAGACCTTTCGATCCGAACTGATGCCTACCGCCCTGGCTACCCCCTTAGGGTTGGTTTCAAAAAAAAATACGGTTACTTATTTTCTTCTTCCTGTTATCTACATTGCGAAGGTTAGGTTGTCGAACGGGGGGGGGAGGGGGGATTTGGGAGGGATGGGTTCCAGCTTGGTCTCCCTTCCCACAAACGTGATAGAAGTAAACGCTCTTACTCTCTTCCCCGACTGCCAAAGCCTTGCTTTCGGTTCAGGAGCTTCCTTCCCCAAACCCCTACTCTTCGATGATGATCCAATCGTTTGACATCGACCCCCTGCCAAACGTGACGCACCCCCTTCTAAACAAACCTTCCGTGAGAGTAGGCCTCGTACCTTTCCGAGACCTTGTCCCAGTTGACGGCCTCCCAAAAGTTCATGAGGTACTCTTCCTTCCCCATGATGCCGTAGTCGGGTAGCCAGGCGTGCTCGTGGACCGAGACGCAGAGGAGAGGGTAGAGCTCCTTGCCGACCGTGCCGGAACCTAGCATCGAGTTGAAGATCGAGGTGGCCGAGCTCCTGAAGCTGGTCGAGGAGGAAGGGTTGGATTCGGTTGCCGCCGGCGCCGCCGCCGATGGACCACCCTTCTTGTTGGTGGTGGGGGCGTCGTTGACCGAGGGGAGGAGGAAGTTGAGACCCCTCTGCTGCCTGGACTGGACGACGACGGTGCCGGCTCCAAAGGTGGGGACGACTCCCAACCTACCTTCCTGGTCGGTCACCAGCCAGACCCATCCACTTCCTGACATGCCCATGGCGGCCGAGGAGAACGTGTAGCACAGGGCAGGGTAAGATTCGAAGGACTTGTTGACCGCCTCGCCCAGTGCCCTGGTAGGGGTGGGGGATCGGATCTTCTTTTGAGGTGCCTTTTTGAATTCATTCATTCATTCATTTGAAATGGAAGAAGGGGGAAAGGCATAAATGGGGAGTAGGAAGGAAGGTTGCTTCGCATCAGAGACATGGCTCCTCACAGGTCGAAATGGAGACGGTGTGAGTGGGAAGGGGGGGGGGGGTTTCTGCTCACGAGGCTGCTGAGGAAAAAGCTGTTGTTGAGGGCCTGGCTAGCATAGTTGAAGGCGAGGATCCTCTCCCTGTCCTGGCTCAGGCCGATGACGGTCTCGACGATGGAGGAGGAGGCGTACTCAGTGTCCTTGACCTCCTTGTTGAGCTCCTTGAGCAGTCCGCCCTGCCAGTGCTGGCCTATGAGCTGAACCGTCTTCTGGGAGAGGAAGGGTCTGCAACCTTCGGAGAGGATCTCGGGTAGAGGTGGTAAGGTGTGGAGGTTGGAGGTCTGTTGGAAGGGGAGAGAGTTGGGACGGCGCTGGACGTAACCCGAGCTTGCGTGGAGGCAAGGTCTTTGCCTTTGTGTCGAAGAGAGGGGGGACCGGGAGGAGAGGTAGGAGGAGGGCGAGGGCGAGGGCGAAGAGGGGGAAGAGGGAGAGGATGTGGAGGAAGAAGAAGAGAAGGACTGGGAGAGTCGAAGGAGCGACCTCTTGGAGGAGGAGGAAGCGGTGGAGGAGGAGGAGAGGAGGGTTGACCTCAAGAGGGAGGAGGAGGAGGCTGGTGATGCCGCCATCGCTGGGTGATGGTCGATTACGATCGGTGGTGGCGGGATGTGAGGGTGAAGGTGGTGATGGTGAATGTGTGGAATGTGCCTAGCCAGGAGGAGGGTAGGGGTAAAAGAAGGGAGGCTTAGGGTTTAGCCAGGCTAGGGAAGAGGGCGAGGTTGGTTAGGGTTAGCCAGTTTGACTAGGAGAAGAAGGGTTGTAGCTGGTGAGGGAGGAGGGGGCGAACTGGGTGGTTGTTCGGTGATGGTGATCACGGAGATCCGATTCAGGAAGAAAAACCCACGCTTGCCTGGCTGGTTGGTCGTTACCTTCTTCCCTTTTTTTTTCTTCTCCTCCCCCTCCTTGCCCCCCCTCGCCTCGCTTCCTCTCCGCCTCTCCTTCCCCACTCTGCTGCGGTGAGAGGTTGGTTAGCCAAGTTGACCTAAACCTAACCTCGTATGTAATTCATCATCGGAACCCCGAATTAGAATCGACCTTCCTTTCCTTACCAGGGAAGGGTTGGGACTTGAAACCAGAGTAAGGGAACGCGTCGAAGACCTCCCGATCTTCATTGATTTCACGGTCAAGGTGGAAAGGACAAGTAGCGTAGGATTAGCATCCAGTTTGATTAGCATCCACCACCTTCTCCACTCCCTTCCGACTTGCTCAGTAGACACGCGAAGAGGGGGGGCGAGGAGCAAAAGCCAGGAGGAGAAGCAGGAGGAACAAGAATACCAAGAAAGAACAAGAGTTGGAAGAGCGAGACGAGACGACTTGAAGAAAACAACAACAACAACCAACAAACCAACACCTGAAGAGAGACTTCGAGGAACCATCTCTCTCCTTCGTCGATCTCTCCCTCCCTCCCTCCCTCCCTCTCTCTCTTCCCC